CGAAATTATGCTATTCCCCAAGTACTTGTACAGTATGCTGAGGTCACAGACATGGCTCTGGTACTCCTTTGGTGTCTAGTCTAAGGACATTGACCACTGTGTAGGATGGCACTGGTGTGAACGGTATGACTCTGGACCGGTGCTGCAGTGCATGATGTATGGCATAATGATGGGAATCACGGCACCATTGCCTGTAGGCTGTGCCACTGAAATTTGAGTGACGTGGCAGCACTGCGATAGGGCCATGTCACTGTTGAATGGCGTAAGTATGTTACTCAGGCTGGAGTCAGGCAGCCGCAGAAGCTGCAGCCTGCCGGCTCCCGGTCGGATGCTCGCAGCGAACATGGGGCCCATCCCAACCCCCGCTCATAGTCGAATGTCATGTAGATTCCTCAGATCTGCATTGTTACAAAGTATTAATGAAGATGCTAAAATGCGAGAGATAAGTGCACATGGAATATTGTATTTGAGTTCGAAATGAGGCTGGGACTCGTGAGACACGTGGCCCTGAAGACACGCTGTGCTTGATGGCATGGTGCTCAGAAGAGAATGGTACATCAGGACTTCTGAGAGTCTTGGGGGTGCTGGCTTGGTGTCCATCAAGGAACCATGGGGTGTGCTTGAGGGTTGATCAACACGGTAAGTACAACACAGGCAATAGAGAAAATCTGGTGCAGTTGGAACACGGAAGATATGATAGCAAACCCATTGAAGACATAGACAATTCGGATATGCATGTCCAAATAGTAGACCTAAGGAGTGTGGCTGATGGTAGGCTAGCTAGCGCTTGAGGAAGCAAGTACTCACGAGAGACCCGGACAAACTTTATTTGTAAATCCCTAGAATGTAGCATCCTTCGTTGACGATGGCCAATAGCCCGTAGGGGATACATCTGTCGACGAGCAGGTTACAAAAAGTATTTCGGATACCGGGAGTCGAACCCGGGGCCGCTGTGTGAAAGACAGCAATGTTAACCGTTACACCATATCCGATGTGTCATGAGTGCTCGACATTGCACATATGAGCTGGCATCTTAACGGAAGTTCTCAGTAGTTGCCATCTGTGAGAGGAACAACTTTCGTCTAACTGGCTTCAATATAAAAGGTCTGTCTAGGAGAGACTTTGCCGTGGGTTGCCCTTTTCTCTATCAACACACGATGACCGATCAACCCACAAAACAAAAACTATGGGGCGGGAGGTTTACAGGCAAAACGGATCCTCTGTACGCATCTGACTCACGATGAATCACTGATATTCTGATGGTCTCGAAGGATGCATGCGTTTAATCAGTCCCTCAAGTATGACCAGAGGATGCATGCTGCCGATATTCGTGGATCAATTGCGTATGCAAAAGCTCTCCGACGCGTTGGTCTTCTTACCGAGGAAGAAGAAGTCAAAATGACCCAAGGTTTAGATGCTGTCGGTCGAGAATGGGCAACTGGTCAAGTACATACCTCATTTATAAGGCACTCGATCCTATGTTTCATTAGATAACCTTGCGTCACAGTTCCGGCCTGCCCCTGATGATGAGGACATCCACACTGCAAACGAACGCAGACTAAGCGAGCTGATCGGCCCACTCGGCGGAAAACTTCATACTGGACGGTCTCGCAATGATCAAGTGGCGACCGACATGCGCCTTTGGCTTCTCGGTGAAGTGGATGACATACAATCCAGTCTCAAAGGTCTCGTGCGCATCATGGTAGAGCGTGCAGACAAGGAGAGAGATATTCTGCTCCCTGGATATACCCATCTCCAAGTAAGTGCATGCTTCTCATACAAGAGGGCCACTCACGATGAGGCAGCGAGGACAACCTATTCGGTGGTCACACTTCCTGTTGTCGCACGCCTTTTCGTTCCGCAACGATCTTGAGCGACTTCATCAACTCATCCCGCGTATTTCCGTTCTACCTTTGGGAAGCGGTGCCCTAGCTGGCAATCCATTCTCAATCGATCGCGAATTTCTTGCCAAAGAACTGGGGTTCGCTTCACTTGCCGAAAATAGTATGTGGGGGGTCGGCGATCGCGATTTCATTGTCGAATTTTTGATGTGGTCAAGCCTCACTATGATTCACATGAGCCGTCTGGCTGAGGATTTGATCATATATTCCACTGCCGAGTTTGGCTTCGTCACTCTCAGCGATGCATACAGGTATGGTTTTATACGGACGGCAGTCTGAAGACGTCATTTTACCTTGCGCTTAGCACTGGCTCGAGCATGATGCCCCAGAAGAAGAACCCAGACTCTCTTGAATTATTGCGAGGAAAATCTGGGCGCATCTTTGGAGATGTACGTCATGTGGTATTGTGATGCAATTCATCTTCACGAGCACAACCACTTTCTTAGATGGCAGGATTCATGATGACGCTGAAGGGTTTACCGTCGACATACAATAAGGATCTTCAGGAAGACAAAGAACCACTATTTGACACTGTCGACAACATTTCTGCATCGCTCAAGATCACGGAGGGTGTCATAGCGACTATGGAGGTCTGTCTGATCTCACTGTATTTCTATGGCACTCAATGACATGATGGTCAAACAGGTCCATGGCGAAAAGATGGAACAAGCACTGACTATGGATGTCCTCGCTACCGATCTTGCTGATTATCTCGTCCGGAAAGGGGTTTGTATTCCGTTGGGCTTACAGTTATTACTTATTGACGACCAAATAGGTACCCTTCCGTGAGACCCATCACGTTTCTGGCCGTGCTGTTGCTTTGGCCGAGGCTAGGAAATGCCAGTTAAATGAATTGTCTGTCGAGGACTACAAGGGTCTACATGAAAGGTTCTCTGACGATGTGGTCGAAATCTTCAACTTCGAAGCCAGCGTTGAGAGAAGGTCATCTATTGGTGGACCAAGCCGCAAGACGCTGGACAGGCAGATCGCGGTCTTGCGAGCAGTACTTGGCCAAAAATAGTTCCGAAGTCTGTACATTTGGTCACTTTGATGCCAATCGCTGTGACTTCAATAATCAAATAAGAGCCTTGTAACTGGACCCTGAGACTCGTACAACCGCTGAACCTGTGTCTGCCAGTGGGAGAGCGCCAAGCTGATCCACTAGCACAACTTTAGAGTACTACATTTGTGGCCTTTTTTGTTTAATGCAACTACATCCGGCATGTGCTTGCTGTGACTTGTGGCTGTACTCGCTTCTACGCGGTTTGTTTCACCACTCATCTTACTTCAGCGAGCACTCATCCAACATCGGGAGACCGCAGTTTAACGTGTTCATCTACGCAATTATATATTATAAGCAACTCTAAATTCACCTCATCCTGATTTTTCCAAAACACGCCTACCTCCTTTCAACACACCTTGACGACATAACATGGATAGGTTGGCAGCAATGAGAGTACGTTTCTCCTTTTTTCACATCAGGAGTGCGTAGTTGACGTATTCTGCACCACAGGCCCAGCAACAGGGCGGGTGAGTTTGCTTGTTATCCAAATTCATGCCAGTTCTTCTGACTTTACGGGATTACAGTAGTCCTGGCTACCAAAGACAAAACCCATATGTTAGACAAGACGACCATGCGTACGAAATGGCTGACGTGCGGGATAGCACAACAAACCTGACTTCGGGAGGCGACAGCATGTCAGATTTTTATGCCGAGGTAAGCGTTTTTCGTCGTGGCTGCGGTTAGCCAACTAATGTGTTGTAATTAGATTTCATCCATTCAAGACACTATCAAGACTTTCAACGCCAACGTTTCTCGCATTGACGAGTTGCACTCTCGTTCACTGAACAACACAGATGATGCTGCTGCGCAACGCAATGCCTCTCAGCTACAAGAGCTCGTGGAGGATACCAGTGCTCTGAGTGCAACACTCAAGCGCCGTGTAAAGGACTTGGAGAGGCAGGGGGGCAGCGGGCGTGATGGCCAGATCCGCAAACAACAAGTATGCCGCTTTTTACAGTAGCGAAGGAGTGACTAAATTGTCTCCTAGACGGCTCTCGTCAAGTCGAAGTTCGTTGATGCCATCCAATCCTATCAGACTGTTGAGCAACAGTATCGCCAAAAGTACAAGCAGCGAATGGAGAGACAGTTCAAGATTGGTGGGATGAATGCATTGTTCTTTGTCCGTCACTCATAGTCAACAACCTTTAGTTAAGCCAGACGCTACGCCTGAAGAAGTTCGGGCCGTTGTGAACGACGAGAATGGGGGGCAAATATTCAGCCAAGCTGTGAGTGGCCTTGTTTATTCTTTCCAACATAATCTCATTTGTGTACTAGTTGATGAACTCCAGCCGATATGGCGAATCAAGGGCAGCATACCGGGAGGTGCAAGAGCGACACCAGGATATCAAGCGCATTGAGCAGACCATTGCAGAACTTGCTCAGCTTTTCAACGATGTGCGTCCTGATATTATTAGTCAAGTTGGCTGTTAATCTCTCGAAATCTTCAGATGAGTATGTTGGTAGAACAACAAGACGAAACTATCAACACGATTCAGGCAGCAGCAGAAATCGTTGAGAAAGACACGGAAGCCGGGTAAATGTTTCACTTGGAATAGTTGTACAGTTTCTAAACGTTTCTGCAGCCTTCAACACACGGGAAAAGCTGTCAACTCTGCTCGCTCAGCCCGTAAAAAGCGATGGATCTGCTTCTTCCTGTTACTTCTCATCATCGCAATCATTGCCATTATCGTCGTCGTCGTTATCAAGCAAAATGGTGGCAAGTAAAACCTCTGTTTATGACTTGTGTGCGCTTGCCATCTCATGCTTATTCCACCACCTTATTTAATAACCTATCATTTCACTGGTTGTTCACGCTCTTTACTACATCTATTTTCTCTACTATCAGTCTACTGGACATTGGATTTCTATTGTTACAGTTTCCACAATGACATTGGTATTAAGACATTTTGAAAGACGGACCATGAAATCTAGACCTAAGCGCAGGATTATACTGCGCATGCGACACGCAAAGTTTACATTTCGACGGGGGTCTTTTCAGGGTTACCGGTCACCGGTCACCCACAAAGCTGTGATATGCTATGGCACCGAAACAACAAATTTGGGACAAGGCTGCATGTGAAGGGTTGTACAAACAACAATTCGACTCTACTTTACACAAATTTACACGTACAATCCATGTTACCAGAGTATTTTGACTATCTGCGCTGGACAGCTGAGACACTAGACAAATCTGAAATATCGCATAATACACATTGCCGCACTAATGCGGACTACACTTGGTCTCTCCAACTGCGCCAGAGGTATCCAGTGACACCGCACGCAACGATAGCAACCGCAGTATACCATGAAAAGGTCGTACTCCAGCACTCAATGCCTTTACAGACAGCGCCATCACTCGAGTGACTTGCGGCATTGAAGGCATAGAAGTATGAGAACGCAGGAGCACCGAGAAAAGGAGCGTAGGTTAGAATGCCGAAGTTGCGTCCGAGGTCGTCTATACCCCACGCAGACGACACCAGACTCGGTCTATAGAACAAGCCAGAGAGCGTCAACAGGAACATACTGAAGAAGGAATCAATGGAACATACAAGATTGTGAAAGCTGAACCGTAAGCGACCCCAGCGCCGATACTAATAATCTGATGAGAGTGCTGATTAGGTTCAAGGTGTTGTCACTGACCTAAGAGCCCACAAGTCCACTTGTGACTTTACGCCGAGTACCATCCACAGATAGGTAGATGCAAGTACCAGTACCGAGAAGAAGAGAAATGCCACACGGCTGACATGGCGCTTGCGGGATATACTTTGGGTACCAGATGCAGTGGCTGTAGGAGACACAAAGTCCGCCAAAGGTCCGACAACCAGCCGAGAGAGTGTGTTGGCAATAGAAAGAAACCGGACTTGCGTTGCAGTTGCCATATCAGTAGATGGAGCTCCGATTGTGCTTGAAGTTTGTGATGCAAGAGAAAGTACTATTGTGCCAATGTTGGATATCACCATTTCGCTCTTACCGAGCCAGAAGATCAGATCAATCCAGTGATATGAGAGAGCCAACTCACAGAACCTAATATCACAAACAAGACAAATGCCAGGGCCCAGAAATAACGGTCTTTGACAAGGTCAACTACCGGACTACCCTTGATGGGGGAAGCAACGACAACAGTCTCGACTTCAGCAGTACGACCGCGCTTTCCATGGAGAAGAGCTGTTTGCTCGTCAATGTGGACTGACCCTTCTGGATCCTCCAAGACAACGCTTGGAGGATCTTCAGGGGGAGGTATAATATGGAGAGTAAAGGCACCGAATAAATGAACGGCACCGCAAAAAAGGGCCAGGAACTGTAAGAAGTGCGTGATATCAAGACCTTCGTCGGGATGGGAAAAGAACCTCGAAGCCAGTATTGATATAAACATCGGCGATAAGCCGAACAAGGTGATGCTCGTTCCAGATGCTATGCCGATGAAATCCGGGAAGTTCTTACAGGCAGCAAATATGGAAGAGAAATATCTAGACAATGATGAATATCAAAACCTCCGATAAAGTGAGCAACTAACGAGAAGGCAGTTCCAAGTCCCGCGATAAAGAAGTAGAGGGTAAGATGATGGAATGTGGATGATGAAGGTCCAGTGATATCATCTGGTGTGTTAGCAATTTCCTTTGCGAATAATCCAAAGCCTGCGAAGAACAAGCAACTAGCGATGATGGAACAGGCCCAAGGACCGTATTTGTCGACAACCTTGCCTATCATGGCTGCGAAGGGATATTGGCCCATCATCCCGCTGGGAAGCCGATTAGCTATTATTCAAGTTATGAGCTGAAAGATACTTACGCTAAGGCTATGGTCGTCAGTTGAGGTTGAGTCAACTTCAAGTGATCGACCAAAGCAGGTGACATGAGGGAAAATGTAAAAACACTTCCACCACAAAGTCTACAATGACATAAATCAGCTCTGAGGCTGGACACGCGAGGGCAGTATGACAGACGCATTGGCAGCAATGGACACGCAAGCGAGGGCGAGCCGAACTCGACGCAAATGAGTACGTTGAGTCTGCGACTGTACAGGAAGAGGCATGTTATAGAATGTACTGGATGATATTCCGTTGCATGAAATGGGCTGTTTGAATGAGAGGACCAACAATGAATGAGTGTCACGGTCAATGTGCTGCAGCTTGAAGTGCTTGATAGTTTAGGCTGCAATCAAAAGCGGGCCGCCCTCCGATCGGGAAATTCCATGCTGTTCTTTTAACGGGTGGATATCAGCTTAACTTATTCCAAGACTTGTGTTATGTCTTCAAGTAATTAGTAAGTACACCAACAGCTCTCGGATGTGCTTCAAATTTCCGTGCATTTTATGTTTCTATCGACTCATTCATTCCATACCCACAGGCGCACATCTCCACGCAATCAGCCTAATCGACTGCACTGGCAGTTGTGTATAAACGATCACATCCAGGGTTGCAACGTTGCGATTACATATTGTCCCGATTAATTTTCTCTGGGAGAATATGATTTCGGTGTCCTGCATTCGGTTGCATGATCATTGATGTCGAAACCCGAAGTGGAAGGTCCCAGCACTGGCGGCTTATATTCTCAAAGCAACAAAGGACACAACATTAATATTGCTCACATTGAAGGATGACAAGAATGCTGATGCTGATGTGCTGGCGCAGTTGGACGATGACCTTGCATATTCATATTTAATTAGCTCTCTAGGTGCAGCCCATCCAATGTCCAAATACTTTCTTTAACCAAGTGATTGTTTCTTATCATACTCTACTCTAATACGTGAGCTCGAACTTACTTCCATTAGTTTATCTCTTCCCTTTGACTCATCGCAGTTTTGTAATCATCCATAGCATGATCATCAGCCTAGTTGTCTTCGGGTAATTAAGTCTGTGTAACTGGGGAAATTTACGACATGTACTTTGTTACTGTACTAACGATACACCTTGTACAAATAGGGAACAACGAACAAAAGAGGTGTTAACACGAACGTCCACAAGCGAGTTCTTCTTCGGAAGCCACAGCTTTTTGTTCACAGTCTTTCTTATATTCTGCGATGCATGTAGATATTCATCTGTTCCCGTGCTTTCCAACGTCTCTCCCTTGAGCCACCTCTGGAGGTGTTCTCGTCTATACTTGACATTTTCTAATATCTTGCACTGTTTCATCGAACGCACGGACGGCTACGACAACAGTCATTGTATACATTTATCATGGAATTTTTTCCTGTATTTTTCAAGGTTCGGGCTGTAGCTTTCAGTTCGTGTCGCTTCATTCGTTCACTCCGTAAATGTCTGATCACCAGTCTGATCAGCCTGTATCATTCTCATTAGCCTTCTGTGGACTGTACTTCTTTCAGTCCAAGCTTACGCCCGCTGGGACATATCTGACAGCTGCAGTCGTAAGCAATTCAATCACAATCATCGTGCTGAATGTGTGCTGAAATGAGACCCTTATTGATCAGGGTCGTTAACCGCTATATTCCTCTTGACCAACGCAACAACGATCTTAATTTTACCTTTCCTGTGGGTAATTTTCACATTTGCCACATTAGCGTACCTGACAAGTACTGCATAATGCATTGCAGATTACTACTGGAGTTTCGAGTGTGGTTAGATGCCGCTCGCCTATTATTCGTTGCAATAGGACAGATAGGTGAGGTACCTGTAAGCGGTTCTGTGACACCCCTTCATGATTTGTTTCCAGGTTCTGCTGTCGCTTTCACTTACTGGAATCCTCAAATACAATGCCTGGATCAGAGTACGTCTGATACAGATACCTCAAATTCTACGTACCGTTCTAATGTAACCTCAGCACCCGACCAGCAAGGTGTCTGCAAGTTGATCAACATCTACATGCTCGTGGGCTGTTGGATAATTCCTGTCATACGTCAGTTGCAAGCTAACTTTTCATGGACACACTTGCTTACAGCCTGCGTAGTTGTTTTATATGCTAGCTACTTTGCAGCCATGGTTTACCGCCAGTCGAGGATACCCGTGGTGGTTGATTCGCGCGAAAAAGTCTATACGGATACAGGGTCTCCTCTCGTGGTAGACCCAGAAATAGCGATTGCTTCTCCCCATCTTTCTGTTCTCGACATTCGGGCTTCGATATCACCCCTTCGCACCTTGTCATATGACTCCTTCTCACGTCCGGAGGCGAATATTCCATCTCCGCTCACGGTCACTGCCATGCCACGTCGTGATTCACATCCGCAACCAGGAGTACAGTCTCCTCAGCGACACGTATCTCTTGTGCCATCATTCGCTGATTCTGTACAGATTCAAAATAATGCTCGCAAGTCAGGACGATTGTCAAAACCCTTACCACCCTGGTGCATGTAATGTAATTGTCATTATAGTAGATTTAACGTACTAGTAATCGATCAATCTATTTGATACCGTAAACTTCGCTATCACCCTAAGTAAACTAACAAGGTCTATTTAAAGATCCAACTGCACTGGCAGTGCAAATATTGTCGCTAACGTTTAAAACGGAGAGAGCGGTACCACTGGGCGCAACAAGCTAGGCTAACGTCCCACTCAAACCTTCATGAATACCGACCTATAGCTTCACTCAATTATACGCTTTCGGGTGACTGACGACGAACATGACGAACTGGGACCCAGTTGCGACTAAAGTATGTGTCGTCTTTGTCCTTGCCACACATCCATAATAAGTTCATGCTCCTTGCAGGTCTTATTACGATCAACATCGCAGCGTCTTGGTCAAATTCAAGAGAGGATAGACTCTCAAGGGCAAATCACACGACGTGACATTGCAACGCTATTGCAACAGAATAATACTGCTCTTGCACGCGCCAAGGCACAGAATCTCATACAAGATGATGCAAAAGGCGACTTATTGGAGATGGTGGAAATGCACGTCAGCATGATCATCGAGTATCTTGGCGAGTTGGACGAAGGGTGTGTTTCCAAACCTTTTATAAAATTGTGCTACAGCTGATTGCAGCGACCATTCATTAGGCGTTCACCGAGCCCCATCCTTACAGAGGCTGCAGCCTCCATCATAGCTGCAGCTCCCAATGTTAATATTAAAGGTGAGAGTAAACGAAGGTTGTCTCAGTGATCGATTGTGCTCACGGAATCAAACAGAACTCAATGTTGTTAGGGATATGTTAATTCAACGCATGCACCATCATTTTTTTAGTTCACCCAATAGCCTTGAAAACCACGTACCTTTACGTGCAAGTATTTCTTTAGTTTCCGTATTCATTTACTAACACCTTATTAGGTCATGCAATTACTACACCCATCAACCCCTTCTGCATCCCAGATAAATAACTGTCTGACAAATGTATCAAAGGTGTATCATGTAAACTGGGCTGCAGACCCTCCCCGGCAGGATATGTGCGTGTTTTCCAGTTCTTTGTGAGACGAGCTGAACGTCCGAGTTAGCTTGAATTTGATCTCAGAAATTTTGGATCCGCAAGGTTCACCCATTGTTGACCTACCTCGTCTGCGGAGGCTGTGTTCGCAAGGTAAGAAACTACAAATCGTCATGAAGTAATATCTAATGCGAATTGCCAGGGTTACCCGATGAACCTCCATGGCTTAGGCCTAGGATATGGAAGTACGTGAAAGCCAGCGTGTCTGACCTCTGACTGACCTAACTTGCAATGTAGGCTTTTACTGGGCACTGTTCCGGTCTTGAAGTCAACATGGCAAAAAGAAAATCGGAAACAACGCGACAGCTACTATGTATGTGTTGCTCATGTCTCGGAACGCAAGCTGATACATCGACTAGGATCTCGTTCGCCGTTTGTTATCACCATTTTATGACATGCCAGCACCCACGAAGCCGCTGAGCAACACGGATACGACGTTAATGAAAATATCTGAGTCTCTATTTCGTCTTCCCCCCGAACTCTTCGACACGCTTGATATAAGCACAAATTGCCCAACTCTGTCTCCGTTAGATGAAAATGCTGATGAGACAGAAAGGATTGGGTGTGCTCATCTTCTTGACGCGCGACTGCAGGTCCTCCACGGACAAATTTCCGCATCGAACCCCACAGGTATTCCCGAAATTCGCCTCGAGCCTGACATTGGCACACTCGAACTGTCACAATTGCCGAGCATGGATTCCTCTGGACCAGGGGTATCCACCACATTATTACATGCTGGACCGTTCGGTGGTTCCAGCGCACATCCACAGCACATCTCAGCCCTCCTCCGTCTGCTGTATCTGCATTCATGTATAAATCCAGCAAACCAATCTCCAGACATTCCTTCCTTACTTGTACCGTTGTACGCTGTTCTTATCAGGGAGGTGGAACCGGAAGATTTAGCCCACGCTGAAGCAGATACATTCTGGTTATTCGAAGCTCTCGTTGGGGAGTTTTCTGAACTGGCAGATCAGGAAGGTGGTAAAGTCTGGATGAAGAAATTCAGCGATCGATTAGCACAAGCTGACGGAGAACTTGCTGCGAGCCTGGTATGTGTTCCTCTTAGCGAATTATGGACTCCCCTCAACTCTAGATGTAACAGCACACCAAAGGCTTGGATCCTATGCTTCCACATTACTCCTAGTATGATGCGCTCTCTTATCTGACATTTCATGGCTTACACAAGCTCGCAGTCGTTGGCTTGCACCTCTCTTGTCGCAAACGCTTCCTCTTACCTCCCTCCTGCCTGTATGGGACGTGCTTTTTTCCTACCCAATGAGAACTCGAGATGAGAACCATAAACTCGATGCACTCGTTGATATCTGCACAAGTCTTCTGATCCGTGCGCGCGCGCCGCTTTTTAGGTCAGTCAATCATTCATACAAATTGATGATTATATTGAATCCTTCTAGACTTGCAAAGCCTGGAGGTAAGTCTCCGGGACTGTGGGCTGAAGAGCATGCTACTATTCGTCCTTCTTCTCCGCTTCGACCATGGGAGCTCAGCGACGCTTTCCTCGAGGGCATTTCTCTTTTGCAATCCTATCCAATTGATGCAGCTGGTGGTATCGACCGAGTCTTGCAAACCGCACACGATTTGGCTCAAAGGCGCATCGAAGAAAACAGACTTTTGAAGTCAGATAATGTCACCCTCGGTGCTCGGATTAAAGCCACGATGTGGAAGGGGTTTACAAACCAAGTTGCTGATGCTGATGGGGAGGAGGAGGAAGAAGAGGAAGAAGAAGACTCGAGTTCGGATGAAGAGAGCTCCCACGAAGACGGCAATGAGACAGAGACTCCGGCTGCTCCAACCCTGACTTCGCGTCTCGCCAATACGGTTTGGAGAGGGATCACCAATCAAAGCTCTATGGAAGATCCACCATCTCCACCATCTCCAACTTCCCCGCTACAACCACAATCACCACTGCTCCCTCATTCCCCTCAGAGTCCCCCAGAGCAAATCACTTCAAACCCATCTCTAAGCCCACCGCCTGCAAGTATCTGGGGTTATGCTGGAAAACTCAAAGACTCTGATACCGTTGCGGCTTTTACGAAAGTAAGCACAAATTGGCGTGCCCGAGCGATGGATGCATGGAACAATCGACGCAATAGCGTGACATCGAACGGAGATGCATCGTCACCGGTGATCGCGAAATCTGAGTTACCACCCTCAGTTCCGGACAAGTGGTCACCACTGAGAGATGGTATTAGTCATTCTGGAGATAGGAGTAGAGGGGGCTCGCTTTCTGGTAGCAGTCGAGGGGCTACTTTTGAAGAACCCCCTCGCCCAACATTCTTTCGATCGCCACGAGACAGCTTTTTGCCACTGCCGCGCAGAGGAGGAACTTACACTGCCCCACCGAGCCCGGAAGTCCAGCCTCAGCAGGAAGATAACTTCATACACAAGGCGCAGGCCTCTCTGGCATCCTTGGCTGCTTTGAACTCCCTGACCGCAACCTCACGTACATCAGCCCCGCAACAACCTCCCAGGGGTCCACCACGTCCTCTTCTTCTCAATTCAAGCTCTTTGATTACCGCCAAACCTCCGTTGGCCGCGCACTCGGATGACGGGATGCCAATCAAACGGCGTGGCGAGTGGATGGATGTTGCGCGCAGTAAAGGACACGGACTGCGCACTGACTCGGTGTCTTCGATTTCATCGCAGTCGCCTTCTGATGCCCTCAGCGGACTGCACTCGAGACCAAGCGTCGGCTCCAGATCTGACATCGAATCCGAGGGCAGAAGTCGGAAGGTGGCACTAAACCGCAAGTCAATATCGCCAATGGCGCCCGCGTCTCGTGCGCTACGAACTCCTTGGACAACTTCTCCTTTAAGCGCGTCTGATGCAACGACGTGTGATCCATCCACTCGAACCTATACTAGGTCCGCCGCTGAAGATAGCTCGTCGGACAGGGGCTGGTGTGCATATGCTGCTGCCGATTCACCCACAACGGTGTCATCTCCGCCCATTCCTCCGACGCCTATCACCGCAATTCATGTCGAAGCAGGGAAGGTACGGGTGAATGATGAAAGTCGGGAGAGCTCCTTTAGCGAAGATAGTGTACCTCTGAGGCCACCTACACCAAGCAAGATTTCACTACGAAAAAAGACACCACCACCTCTACGACAAGATATGGACAATTCTGATTCGCAGGACTGGACACCCTCTAGGAATCCCCATATGCGCTCGAAGCGTCACCTTCCAAAACTACCCAGCCTGCGAACTCGTGACACCAACCTTCGGCCTAGTCCTTCTGTGGCTGAGCACAAGAACGTGAGCCCAAACTCGCTCGCCCCTCCAGAGTGGCCCGATGAGCAAGAGATAGCCATGACACCTCGTGCTCCTGAATTTGGTTCCAAGGACCCCACATCAACATCCCCAAACTGTTCGTCGCATTCTCCACGTCCTAGGCGGAAGACATCCGGAGATACAGTGGGGCGTTCACGGAAAATTTCGGGAGAATCGGTTGTTCGGCTTAGTAGATCTTCCTTCTACGAGGCGCGGGAAGCTAGAGATAGCGCTGCAGAAGAAGGGGACGACGAAGGCTACGATGACATTCTGAGCGCATATGAGAGCGAGGAAGGGAGTAGGGAGTAGATGTTCTCATGACTGTTCCTGCTGGTGGTACCAGCTAATGCGATAAACTATGAAAAACAGACCCAGAACACTGCGTGAGTGAAAATTTTGGTTTTACTCGAGAAATAGATGGTATATTATATGCAGGTATGCCTATTGTCCATATAGTTGTAGAACATGAGCTCTTGCACTCCTTGGTATACTTCAAGGAGTACAGGAAAGTATGGCAAAATATTCTGAATCAAGGTAAAATTAGACTAGAGAAGGAAAAGATGGTATAGCAAATCGCTGACCTCAAATGCGACATCTAGAGTAATCTTGTCCGTGCTGGATCCGCGCACAGCAGCCAGATAATAGCGAATGTTCCATCTTCTTAAACCTTCATTTATGATGAAGTCTTCTAAAAGGGATGCGTGAATAAATCGCCTAGACACGAAGAGCGGCTTTAGCAGAGGATATCCCCGATGCGTCTCGAGCTGTATACCGTAGGCTGGAAACACTAGCACAGATTCTGTTTCAAAAATGAGGAATGCACAAACACCACTTGTTTGAATATACCATGAAGAACTTGCGTACAACGGCAGTAGATGGAAAACCCAACTACCAGGACTGCGAATGCACATGACACGGTGTTGTCACGAAACTACAAAATTTAGAGACTGTTAGCTTTCGGCTTTTAGGCTGGGAGACTTCGAGTAGGATACTAACTCTTGGCCATATGAATGAGATGACCAAAGGTAGACAAAGGTCGATCCATCCCCATGATGTCGCACCACGAACAATATTCCCGCTTCCATCCCGAGCAAGTCGCCAGTTCTCGACACGATACTCCCGAAAACTAGGCCATTCTAAGACAGATAACTCAGGATGACAGTCGGGTAAAGGTCTAGTCCGTTTCATTCATCGAGTTTGTTGAAGAGCGTAAGAAGATTCAAAAATATATGAAGTGCATGTGACAAATCCGAACAAATAAAAACTTAGAAGATAGGCAAAAGTACTGCCCCAGTGAGGCTCGAACTCACGACCTTCCGATGCCGGTAAATAACAGTCGGACGCTGTAACCAACTCAGCCATGGGGCATGTGTTATTGATGCCACCTTGACCAATTAAGCCAGTGCCGTTACCATGTCTCCCTTCCTGCGATTTAATGTTCAGAGTTCTGGGCGCCTGAGGCCTGACATGCCGAAGCAATCGAAAGCATCAAAGCAAACACCACGCAAGTCTGCAGTGTCACCAGCTCTTACGTTTCCAGACATCTTGCAGAAAGAAACTCTCGAATGTCGCGTGCTGCTGGAAGACCAGATTATCGTTATAGATGTTCGTTTCGTTTATGTATCGCAATGATTGCACATTCTAAATGACAGGTGACAGGAGTTTCTCTCTGTTGAAGAATGTAAACGTTTTGTGAAGTTTATCGACAACACTCCGTTGGAGTTAACACCTCCCAAGAAGAAAGGGGAAGCTGAGAGGGTCAATTGTAAGTATTTTGATCAGTAGTCTACCCGCAGGAGTCGGTGCTCACCCGTAGTCCTAACTCTAGTTCGTTTTTCCGTGACCTCTACTTCATTTGCTCAGAAGTTACATTCCCTTCTGTTACCACATCTCCCATCTTTCCCTCCTCCGGCTTCAGTCAGGCGGCGTCCTCCGCATGGCGAAAAGCGCTCGCCTCACTCATGCAACTCAAATATTCGCATGTATAAATACACACCGTCGCAGTACTTTGGACCTCACTATGATGATTCTGTCCGTGACCCAGAGACGGAAGCAAAATCTGAATGGACAGTACTTGTTTACCTGACTGGGATCGAGGATGGAGTTGAGGGTGGTGAGGTACTAATCCGTGACTATGATTGTAAATTTCAAGACTGATTAGCGTGTACAAGACACTGTTCTACAAGGATGAGCGGGGGAAAGCACGCGAAACCATTGTAGCACCTCTAACGCGTGGAACTGTTCTTCTCCATCGGTTAGTGATCCAGGGCCTTGTTTCTTGACCGCAGACTAACACCAGTGACTGACTAGCCACGGAAATGAATGCCTACTTCACGAGGGTTCGCTGGTCCGCAATGGCACCAAGTATATCCTCCGCTCAGATCTCATGTTCATGTGACGACAATTAAGTACGATCGCCATATCCCTCACTCTCTTGTACTCGCGATCTCTGGTAGTCAGGCCTAGGGCTTGGTTGGACTTCTAGGTCAATTGTCAACTTTCGATCAAGCTTTAAATCATGCATACTTGTCACTACCTTGGTTGTCGGACGATGTCTCTCTATACTTATTCTCGAATGTATCTTGATGCTTGTACTCAAAACTTGTCCCAGGAAATTGCTGTGCCGACAGACGAAGGCCAAAGTTCAGTGTAATCCTCACTAATCGAGTTGTTTTAACGAGATGGTTTCCCGCAAGTATCAAATACGGAAAAACCTATCGCCCCTTTTTTGAATGTCTCTTTTTCGGGACACCTGCCTCCACGACATCATCATCACGATCTCTCTCATCCCTTCCAACGCCATCCTCACGTTTGCGTTTCTTTCCGTCTGCTTTAGCTTCTTCTTTGAGCTCATTGATGGCCAAGCGGGCAGCCTCATCCACACGTTCTTTCAGCAACATTACTTCTTCCTTGTCTGTTGGCCAAAGTTCCATTTTTTTGTCTATGACCTTTTCTATTCGTTGGACGAGTTCCACGTCGTACTGCGTCACCATTGTGATCGACTTTCCAGATCGACCTGCTCGCGCAGTACGTCCAACACGGTGAATATAGTCCTTGGAATGGGTTGGAATATCGAAGTTGATGACAATATCAACAGAAGGCAGATCAAGACCACTGTAAGCAGAGCGACTTGAATCAATACACAGGGATAGAAACAGAAATAAGGAACAAACCGGCTAGCCACGTCAGTTGCCACGAGCAACTTGCGGTCTCCGCTCTTGAACTTCCCCAGAGCGCCTAAGCGTTGGCTTTGGCTCAGCTGACCGTGCAATGGAACTGCAGGAAAGCCAAGCGATCGTAACATGATTGACAGTCTGGAATAGAGAAATGGGAAAAATAAGCCGAGGATGATAAAATGATTGCAATTCACCACCTACCGTTGAGCATCATGCACTGTCCGGGTGAATATCATGATGGAGTTCGATGCAAGATGGTTGGCGAGATATATGAGATGCACATCTTTATGAACCAAGGGGACGAGTAGATAATATTGCAGCAAGGTGGACACGGTCTGGTATCTACATTGATTATCTCAGTACAGCTCAGGATGCCGATAATTTGCCCGTACTTTGAAGAGACTTCAATCCGGATAGGGTTTACTAGACTGGCTCGCTGTAGCTTCGCAACTTTGGTGGTCATGGTAGCGGAGAACAGATACGTTGTGCGCTCCTTGGGTATGACTTTGAGAATCTGGTCTATTTCAGGACCGAAATCCATGTCGAGAAGACGGTCTGCTTCATCCATAACCTGTGCAACTGTAAGGACTTGGTGTGCAAGGGCCGGGGAAAACGCACCAAGAATTTCAAGCTTCTTAGGCTGAACCCCTTCGTGTTCTGAAGATGATCGTTCAAACGACCGGGGGTTGCCACTATGATATGAGGCCGCTTAGCAAGACCAACAGCCTGTTGCATCCTATCCATTCCCCCGACAAGAACCAAGGACCGCACCCCCATGGCGGAACCCAGACTCTCAAACTGCTGCGCTATCTGATATGCAAGTTCACGGGTCGGTGCAAGAATGCACGCAAACAATCCTTTTGGCTCGTCCCAAAGTTTTTGTAAGATGGGAAGAGCGAACGCTGCAGTTTTTCCTGATCCAGTTTCCGCCACACCGATGATATCTCGACCTTCTAATGCAGGAGGAAGTGCGTGTTGCTGAATCTCTGTAGGTTTTGTGAAGTTGATCTTATCTAGGGCTTCCAGTAAAGGATCTATGAGTCCCAGTTCTTTGAAGGTTTCTGGTAGTGTGGTCGACGTGCTTGCTTCTTCTGGCGAAGGCATACTGTCCGGCCGTGGTCGTCGATAGTGAAGTGATCCAGAGCAAAGGTTTTAAAATGTTTTTCTCACGTTCAAGTAATCTTCAATAGCTGTCAGCCTTGTATTACCAACTGTAGTGCTACTTTCTTCGCTGCGTCCAACAGTATACCACCCGTCTAGCATCTTCGAATGTCTAATCAGAATGTCCTAGTGACATACTCTGCACCAGTGTCGTTTCTGGCCTCAGAGAACTGGAAGCAAGTGCTAGCTGCCTTGCAATCTCAGCTACCGCTTCGGAGCATTCACTGGAAGTCAGCCTCCCGGCCGAATCTTAAAACCATTCAGGAACTTGAACTTACTCTCGTTCCTTTGGATTCTCTCCGCGATGAACACACATCACAAGTACCACTCACTCTGTTAGAAAAGCCTCTACTCAACCTTTACGTTGTAACGTGCGAGGTAAACATGATGAACAAGCGGTAGCGGTAACCTGACGAGGTATTCAGGATAACGACTTGTACAAGGCAACTGTGAAGAAACAGATCAAAGACTGGCATTTTTCCGTATCTCAGCGGAAGAATCAAGAATGGATCATCGTGCACGTTGTTCGTTCTGATGTCAAGACCACAGACCGCAAGTTCTTCAACATGAAGAGCTCCGTCCTTGATAAGATAAAGGCAGATTTTAATATTGACAAGCGAGACCGGTGCGACTAACCCGCCTATCGCGTCTCTCCTCACGCTTACATTTATCAGATGCGTACAGTTGTCATGGACAGCGGGAGATCACAGTCCTGTCATATGGGCTGATCTTGTGAACAAGATCAAGGACGGTTTGCTGTCTGCTCTAGATTCATCTGTTTCTCAACGTGAAGAAGAGGTCAGACGCTCTGAGAGTCAGAGGCAAATGCCCGGTTGGAATTTCTGCACATTTTTCATATTGAAGGCATGTCTCATACATGGCTTTTTTTTAATGCATTTTAGCTGAGATTTTTTGACTCTCAGGAAAGCCTTGCAAGCTCCTTTGAAGGAGTGAAACTTTTCGAAGATGCCCTGCACCAGTACAACGAGCTGGAAGCATCTTTTATCCAAGTTCTGAGAGAGAAGAACATGTCCTGGTTTGGTAGTCTCATTCAGCCTGTGGACAAGGACGACTCGGTGCCTCTACTCTCAATTACGAAGAAACATTATCGCGACCTTATCCTCGCCAACTCCATCTCAGTGTTCGATTTCCGGATATACTTGCTTTCTCGTCAGTGTGCCCTGCTAAATAAGATGCGTCGCCCGTCCGAGATTTGCCAGAAGGTCACCACCTTTTTGGGCACATTTGGTAGACGATTGCGAGAGGTAGAGGTCAGGGATCGCATCATACCATTCTGTATCGTAGAAACTCATGCTCTCTATAGGCCAAGTTACCGGAATACTTTATTGAGTCATGGATATTTTCTTCTGCTCTCAGTGTTGTCGATCAATGTGATACGTGGGCTACTACGATAGAACTGGATAGCATTCAGCTCGCGCGATTCAGTGCGAGCAAGGGTGAACTTCTTGAATTAGCCAAGACTCAGGTCAGATATCATTGCTGAGACTCTCGCCATACCCTGATTTTTTTTACAGCTCGACATCATTGGCGTAAAAGTAGGTCATCTGCCCAAAAAGCTGCCCTTTGCAAGTATAGAAGAGACTGCCTTGCATCCAGAACAAATCGGTAAACGCTCATCGACGCGGCGGATAAGCAATCAGGAGATCATACTAGCTATCAGGGACAAGGAGGCTTTTTATGACTTGTATTGCGCAACTTCAAATCGTGCCATCGACATGTACGTAAAGGCTGGCCGTCGCAAAATTGCGCTAAAGCTGCATGGCTTCCTCGCCGCCCTGGACATGTAAGCATACTGTTTGACATATGATCCACCTTCTTATCACAGAACAGCCATCGAGGACGCCTGGCAAGTGCTCTGGCCATTTTTACATCCTTACCCGCACATTATGCACCTCATATGTGGATATCGCTAGAGTCCTTCGTACTCTCTCGTGCACTCGACATACATGCGGAGTTGAAAAATCCTCAAGACCGAGAGTGGATACATATCTTACTTGCATATCTCAGGACATGCACAAACGACATGAGCAAAGAACTGACATCGGAGGTGGATCAAGAGAAGTCTGTTACCCAGCTTATTAAAGCACTCCACACTGCTGCGGCAAGTTCAGACTCAGGTGTGTGCTTGCCAAACGCACTGACAATCTGGAATAACTAAGAATTGGCAAATCATAGATCTGGTTCACACAGACCATCCTATTATGGCAGTTCAAGTATCTGGTGATGCTACCTGTAGTGACGATGAAGACTTAGTCTGGATAGATGCCACCGTTTCAAATCATCTACCATGCGTGCGTGTTCGTATGTCTTGACATTGTTTCCAGAGCTGATTTTGTTCAAGGATGTCTTTGTTGATGAGATTAACATAACATTGCGCGGTCGAGATTCTGAACGTTTGAAGTTCATCGCGAAGGTGGATAAACTTCCTCCTGGCCAATTGACCGTAACCCTATCTTGCCCGGTGCGTCTGACCATCTCAACGGTCTCCCGTGAAACTGAACTGCACATCATAGTCATCTTCGTGGGGTCTATATACTCTTGAGAGCAGTGAAATAGTGATGTCGCGTGTCCACTTTCAATGGCAACATACGGGTACTACGACCACTGCTCCCAAGAGGAATCAGATTTCATTGGTGCGCGTGCCACACAGTTTGCGCGCATTGGATGTACAGATGCGTCAACCTCAGCAAAGTAAGTAGCATAGTCTTCTTGACTGTAATAATTTTAACTTATGGATTCAAGCTGAGCTTGGAACGACATCACACCTCTTGCTTGTAATTTCCACTGGCCGAAATGACATCTCGAGGGCAACTATTAAGCTAACTCCGCCTTCTGGAGTGCGATTCAACTATTCCGCGGCACGCTTAGAGGCCGAAGGTCAGTGTTTTCAATACATTTTGATATGTTCTTGAATCAGTACAAGGTACGGAGACTCTTGAGGCCTCTGATAACGCTATCGTCCTTCTGGATGCTCCCGTCGACGCGGACATCATAATTTCGCTGCCACACTCCGATGCTTCGAGATATCATACAATGGTAAGCATCTTTTTTCTAGCAAAGACGACTCTTATTCCTGCACTGAAGAAAATCTGGTTAAATGTGACATATAACACGCAATCCTCAATGGGTGTGATCCGCACCTTGCAAACCTCAAGAGTTGTCACGGTCTCACTACCCATAGCAGTTAATGTAGAAGACTTTTTCCGCGGCAAAAGGTTCCATCATTATATCACCTTGCACTTTGTTCTGAAGTCCTTTTAGACTATTTTCCAAGTTTACTATCTCGGCAACTTCCCACCAGCATGTTCGAATATCCTCGACAGAGCTGCAGGGTGCACGAAGCCTCGATGGGGTAAAGATCTCAGGCTGTCGTCCGAGCCGTCCTGTTGTGGTAGGATTCTATATTTTCGCTGTTTACTGAAGATAATAAACCTCACATAGACCGTTATGCCAGAACATCCCGTGAACTTCTTGTTCTCCATAGAGTCTTCGAATGGACCTGGTGCGTTGTTAGCCAGTTTGCTTGTCGAATGCTGAGAGAAACCCAGTTCTTGATCCATTGAACCTTGTTATTAAATACCGCATACTACGTGACGGTGAGTATTCTCTCTATCCAGTATTACCTTGACTGCAGCTATGTGTTATCTAGAGGTGGAGGCAATAGTTCGACAAACCGTGGAAACTGTGTTGTCAAGCATGCCAGTCGAGAAGCCCCAATACGGCTCTCTACGACGTATGCTCATCGACAAACTGGTCGCACAACTGGAGAGTAACGCTGAATGGGTAGAAGCATACAGAGCTACTGGTGAAATTATCTTACCTCGTTCGTTTGAAGATGACGGGGATTTCCAGGGACCTATTTTGGAGGTTCGTTTGTCGATTTCTGGTTCTGTTGCTCTTGCTCATCATGCGTGACCTTTAGGCATTGGCGCAATGTCGCCCAGAGACTGCATCACCCTGCCCTTGGAGAGAGATCAAGATACCAGTTGACGTGCCAAGGATGAATGTTGGTATTTCCCAGTTGTCCCTAACGACACCCGCATTAACCTAGCCTGTCTGTAACAGATTGTGACTGCAGCACGAATCACTATTCAACCCTCTTCACTTCCCAGTGACATTCAGTCAGCTCAACTACCGCCGATCTACGCAGGCCAACCAATCAACGCAACCCTCATCTTCAAGACCTCTTTTCATTGGGCTGAGAAAGAGGGCAAACAGCAGTTGCTACACGATGCGATACGATGTCGAAGAGCGTGTCAAGGATTGGCTTTTGTGTGGACGAAAACGTGGAGATTTCGTTGCAACTGTAAGTCCCACTGGTATTAGTTCATTCCCACAATCTAAACGATGTCTAGGACGGTGGTTCATTCGCTGTTCCGTTGACATTGATAGCTCTGCATCACGGCGAAATTACCTTACCCAAGGTCGACGTTCGACCACTACCAATATTAACGCAAGCCTCGATGGGATCTACAGTGCCAAGCGCTGATGCTTATCAAGTTCATGGAGCTGAAAAGGTTTTGATTCTGCCCAGAGGTGGCAGAAGTACATATATCGTAGGTATGGGCGGCGAATACGAATGAATGTATCAACGACTATTCCTTTTGAAAGACTTTTTTTTGGGAGACTTGACTGCGATTGCTGTTTGAACGCCTTGAAAACATCTTTCCTTCTGGGTATCCGAACCATACCCCAAGTAGCGTCACAAGATTTGCTGCGAGGAGAAGGCCAGACGAAAATGGCGTAGATGGATAAACATTCCAGGCATATTCGATTGCACCTATGAGTGCCATTCTTTGTACATATTAGAACGCAAAGATACACCTTCCTGTACGAAGAGACTCACTGCATGATAAAAGGAAATCTTGTTCTTTGAGTAAGAAGAGGCAACTGCTGCGAATACCACGAGTAGAATTGGTAGTGCAATGATCGTGCAAAGATGATGCCGATGAGGTTGGACGTCACAAGCACAGTAGCAACGTCTGGTGCACAAGTCAGCAAACAAAAATTGACGAACTCCTAGAATGACTCACAATCGGGATCGACAGGCGCCAAACCAGCAGGTAGACCGGGTCGCCGGAACCCTCTCTGCAGAACCCTAGCTACGCCACCGTCGCTGCGACACCATCGGAATAATCCAAAGGCAATCAATACCGTTACGTGACCCAGAAGTAAGCCTTTCGCCCATGCGGGACTCAAAAATGTACGTTCATCAACAAAACGCCAATTGACGGTCCACTTGTACAGGAAAACACGTGATAAATCGAATGCATTCTGCAGGTAGGACTTTGCATTTGAAATGAGGAAAGAGCGTGCAAGTAGAGTTTGAGTGCATGCCAAGACGAGCATGTGTCGGATGGTCGCGAAGAGGCCGTGTCGTTTGAAGAGAATGACTAGTAGACCTGGCAGATATAGTATTGCAGACATTTTGACAGAAAGAGCGAGGCTTGTACAAAGTTATGGATGTTCAACATCAGTGAAGAAAGTATAGGCCTCACCTGAATAACAAGATACCCACGTCATCCCAAGCGCTCTGGAAAGCGAGAATCGCTGCTTGCACGAAAATTAATGACCAGCAGTCATTGAATAGGCGGAGAACGAAGATAGAATGCAGCCTTTTACTGAGCGGTAGTAGCAGAAGCGTCCAATTTGGAACCTTTGCTTTCTTGTATATCGCGCATACGAGAGTGATGGATAGTACGTATAGACCACCGTAAATCTGTTGGGCTCGCGCAACATTGCGACCAGCGTCTGTGATTAGATGAAGAAGGCGGTGAATATGAACATGTCCAGCTGGATAGCTAGTTTCGTCAAGGTAAGCGCAGTGTATGTTCGTCAGGTTGACTTACACTAAAGGACCTGTGGGACCTGTGATATTGACATAGTCGCGCTCTCCCTTCAGGTAAAGGTCAATGTGGACCATGTACGTTTCCCAGTCGATTTCGGTATCTGGCTGATGTGTCGGTCATGGTGTTATGCGAGCTAGTGAGACGCGCTAACAGGGAACGAACCGCGTTATGAGTTGAGTAAGGATAGCATCTCCGAGAACGACAAGAGATGCAGTAATCCAGAAATATTGCTGGTCGAATAAAAACAACCAGACGTACTTGAAGACAGAACTCTGCATAAACATGGAAGATGAGACCTTGAGGCCCATGGGAGTCCGAATCAATGTTAACGTTCAAACGTTCACTGTTCCACGTACGGCAAAAATGCAAAAGATAACTGCCCCAGTGAGGCTCGAACTCACGACCTTCCGATGAAACGATTCGTAACAGTCGGACGCTGTAACCAACTCAGCCATGGGGCACATGTTTGTGATGCGTTTTCGGAGTATCGTAACCAATTTGGTCGCCTATCAGTTAGAATAATTTTTGTGATACCACAACAAACAACAGAAACTGTTAAGACGCGGTACTCTACGTGTCCTATGGAGTAGTGTACGAGATAAGGAAAACAAGTATGGTACTAATTGCCGATAATCTGTGTTAAAGTGTTGATTTTTCTTATGAATAGCTTGCGTTTGTGTCGGGAGAACTGAGAGAAGTTCAGTTCATACTAGAATTGCAATAAACCATACCGAAAGAGGAATGAAATCTGTTTGGAAAAGACTGGCCGACGCAGGACATACCGGTACTACACAGCAACTCAACAACTACAGTGTTTTTTAAAGAATCTACGCTCACTGCCACTGCGACCGACATATTGTCCACTCAAGCCGTTGCGTTTGACTGGCTCCCTCAGGAGGTGATGGAGAACATTGCTGAAATTCTTCGCCGCAAGTGAAAAGTGGCTAAATCCCTACAAAAAGTTTATCCCAAATTGGTCGAAAAAATGCGTCACCTGAGCGATTCGAACACTCGCGGGCAAAGCCCAACCGCTTCGCTGTATAGCAGGCGATCCCGTTAACCACTCCGGCAAAGTGACTTGTTTGCAGATTGAAATCAGGCACAATATATACTCAATGGCATAAGGGAGGTTGGCTTGAGTAGCAACCCATGAAAAGTACTTGAACTTCTCCCATCGTTCTAGTATCATTTGGTCCTGTAAATAGTACATGAAACAAATTGATGTTTACGTGTTCCTTGTGAACTCGCTAGCTAGCAAGTGAAAGTTTGGCATGTCAAGAACTGCAGTCCCGAGGTATGCAGTAGGGCTACTATGGCACCATGCACATCACAGTAGTCTCGAGGGCGAACGTGTATGGGTACCGCTCCTTTCTGCAGTTGACATCTTATGGGATATTATATCTGCACAGTGTAGCACTCACGCCAATGATTCCGATTGCATACGATGATATTAAATAGTAACATCGAAATTCAGTGTCAAGTTACGGTGATGCCAGTGGATGATATCCAGGAAACCATTGTGGAATGAAATGAAAAAAGCATATCCCGAGTTCGACCACCTGGAGCTGTGGAACATGTGAGTACAAAGAAAACATCTTGATCAGACACGAACGGGTATCATATGAGTATGGTATGGGGCCATCTACTTGGTGCGTTATCGAGGATGCATTTCGTCATTTGCTTGACAGGAAAGAATGCCCCGAACTCTTGCAGGATGTACACCTCACGTCATTGCTTGGAAGTTTTGTCACTCGGACGTGCGTAGGGGAAATCGAACTTCCGAAGAATTTGGAGGTGCAAGTTGGATGCAAGCACAATCAGGTGAGTTGCTGATTCGGAGGCGGCGTCACGACCTATTCCGAGTTGATTCCAATAGTGAGTTTCGGCATAGGTCGCTCACGACCGTATCTAGGAATTTGAAAGTATGATGAATTCAGTATTCTTGCTGTCATCTACAGTGAGGCGGGACACGGGCCATCAGCAAAACTGCCGACTACGAGAAGTTACGGTGTTCCGAGGGCGAACGATATGAATGATTCCGGGTGAAAGGAGATATATATACCTTGATGATAGTTACAGCGAGTTCTACCACGTCATAACGAGGAGACCATTGATTGTTAGAAGCGATTTGCCATCCGAAAAAGACAGGAGCAAGCTCCGAGAGACTTGACGATGAACACGAGGCTAAGTGTGTCCGCGTGAGTTTGAATTTTCGCATGTATGTAAAGGGTTGGCCATGAAAGGATATTATTAAGTACCATGAGTCTGACATGAGGGACTACTGTAACGGTCGTGATCCTAGCTACCGACGACATCTTAGTACAGCATTAACAGCGTCAGTCTTACTGTCTGGTCACTGCTTGTAATCACCTTTCACTTTCACTGCTCCACAACTTGTTCTGCTCTAGTCACCTTTCTTTCATTCTGGCCACACGGCCATGAAAGCATTTCTGAACAGGTTCAACAGAGGCCTGTCATCAAAGGACAGGGACAGGGACAGGGACAAGGACAAGGAAAAAGAGAAAGAAAAGGATCGTGACAATGTCTCTATTTTGACCAAGGACCGCAGTGACAACTCCTCTACCAACTCCCACTCACCCCCCAGCCGAGAAAAGCGTGAGCTAGTCCAGCTTCCACCACTCCCAAACTGGCCTCCTACCAATGAGAGGCTCTCTATCGAGCCTGTCAGTAGACCAGCAACCGACACCAGTAGTAGACATGTCACTTCTCCCAGCTTGATTCAAATCCAACGCTCCACTAGTGCAGGTACAGTCAATACCAGTGCAGGAACTCCTACTTCAATTTCATCGCATAAACCACTTCCCGACATCTGTGCTCGCCCTTTACCTCCAATCGAGGAGCCCCTTGACGACGACAGTGGCGTCGGCCTTACCATTTCCCCGCCTACACACGACCCGGACCCTGCAAATCGTCGCAAGGCAAATGGTAGTACCACATCAAACGACGTACAGAAAAAGGTGGCCTTCCTTTCACCCCCTCCGACACCCTCGCCTCTTAATACCCAACTTCCGGATACATCGGTGCTCAGCCCCTCTCAAATTGTTCAGACGCCCTCGGGCGCCCCGCTCAAAACCACCGTGTCGCGTTTTCAGGCAACACATGGTAAAGACACGCGTGGCTCCATCTCCACAGCCGCCTCAACATCACGCACTGACCTCGCTGCAAAGTCTACTACCACTACCGCCATTTCTTCTCCATCCACGTCTACCACTGTAGCCCCTGCTTCATCAACCAATACTGCAAAAGCCACGAGTACACGCACAGCAGTCTCCCCTTACCCAGGTTCAATGCGCTCCAACACGCCCTATTCTCAAATGTCCAATACCAGCAGCCGCATTCTCGCAGTCACCTCATGGAGTGAGGCTGCAGAAGAAGACCTCGTCAGCAACCTTGGTCCCCGTGAGCGCACTCGTCAAGAAGTTCTCTGGGAAATCGTGGCTTCTGAAGAGCGGTGCGCTGCCCCTCCCCACACACTGATCCATTGATCCTGATGCGATCGTTGTATTCGCTACAGATACGTAAATGACCTAACAAAAATGAAAGAATCCTTTATCGAGCCCCTTCTCCACCCTTATGCCACGCCTCCTCCTGTCAGCCCTACACCGACACCATTCAACGAGTACGATGACTATGGTAGGGTTGAGTCACCGCAGGAATCGATCGATGTCCTGCCCATTGCTGCACGCTTCATGAGCCCTCTTGGCTTCCATGCTGATGGAGCCTCCAAGCCTGCAGATGCAGCTCCAAAGCCTGTAGATGGTCGCAGCCTCGCTACCACGACACCTCAAATTGATGATGAAAGTGATGAGGATGCTGAGGATAGGTTAGGCGAGGGGCTACAAACCAATCGCGCCAATCCAAGCCATTCTCGCTCTCCATATCATGGGGGAGGCAGTGGTGGCAGAGCAACCAAAATACATGATATCGTCCCCTTCCCTTCACGTTCGCACGCATCCCTTCCTGCACCCCAGCGTAAGCTCGCTACCACTTCCTCTCAATCACTGGGAGACAAGGATAAGGAGCGGGAGCGTAAAGACAGTGTTAAGACCACTCCTCCACAAGGCACTCGGGTATTGCGCAAGTTTAAGCGCTCGACCTCGCAGGCTAGTAGTCCTCTCCAGACTGCAGTCCCTCCGCACTTACTGCCTGAGGATCTACGCATATGCCTCGAAGTTATTGAAAGCGGTGTGCTTGATGGACATGTTAAGCTCAGCGAAGGCCTGTTGAAGCGGTACGAGGAGCAATACCCTCTTGTCCGGTCCCTCGCAGATGTATTTGTCTCAAGTGTGAGTATCAGAGTTCTTATTTGACACAATATACTCATGCTACTTTAGTCTCATATCTTCCAAGGCTACGCAACATATGTCTTACATCTTGAGCGTGCGCTCGAGCAGGTGGATAACGCTTTGAGCACCGCAAGCGCTGCCAAGAAGCCCAAGAACCAAGATGCTGCTGAATGGCTCAAGGTTTGCAAGTCTCTACAGCGGCTGGAAGAGCTGGCGGCCGATAAAGGTGAAACCGGGCTTGCTATCACCCTCTCGAAGCCCTTCCAGCGCCTCCTCAAATACCCTCTACTCTTCCAAAACCTACTCTTCCACACAGATCCGAGCACGTTTGAGTATGAGAGTACTCTGCAGATGGTCGCAGAAGTCGAGACGATTGTGCGCAGCATCGAGGACGAGAAGATACAGAAAGAGGACCGGGACAAGACGCGTGATGTGTTTGCCCGCATCGAGGGACTTGACAAGGTGAAGCAGCTTGCGATCCCGAAGCCGTCAAGGTTGCTGCTGGAGGAACGGCAGATTTTTGGATCTCTACATGACTCAGGTCCGTCAAAAGGCCCAGGGTCGAGCCCGCCACCAGTCGTTAACGCCAAGGGCGTAAAGGGCAAGACGTCATTCCGCCGGCTGAGTGATGTGCTGGGCACGGGCTCAGGCATGGGAGGCAAGAAGGACCTGTGGCTTGTGGTATTTAATGATGTTGTCCTACGGTGCCAGCGCACGGGGACGACATCATTACCATTGGTTTCAGGGTCGAACTCGAGGGCGACTTCGTTGCCAGAGATGCAGGGGAAGTCAAAGTATGCCACAACAGGGCGGAGAAATTCGCATACGAAGCCGAGGAATCTATACAAATTTCTCAAGGTAAAGCACCGGTGACACTGTTTGACTTGTTCTCACTCTGGCATAGATCGAGACTTGGGCGATTGGAGATGTCGTCCAGCCCAGGGAAGGGGTCGTCTCTATGGAAGAGTATGTATCTTATGCTCGTATCACTGATATCTGCTGAGCGATTTGTAGCGTTGTACGCTCCAAAGCAGAAGCACGGTCTGCTGCGCAGCCTAAGATCGTCCCTCTCCCTGACGACGAGGAAGATGGCGAGGGAGAGTCGGATGACTCAGACAAGAAGAGTAAAATGAGTTTCTCATACTGGGGTGCAGACAGGATCACCCTCCAGAAACCAGTCCTCAAGCCCAAGCAACACGGCGTCGTTGGTTCAACACGTCGTGTATCTCCAGGCGGCACGTCCTCATATAGCAGGGAGTCCTCTGCGAACGCTAAGTTTGGGACTCGTCTAGCTTCAGTCGACCATCCCTCTCATTCTACGCGCCCCATGAGCAGGCGAACGCAAACAACACCCAGCACGCGCACACGTGTGAATGCTTCAGAAGACAGTCATTCTATGAAGGCTACCGTCACGCGACCTGCTTGGGACATGAGCACTCGCGGTAATCCGCATGCCCCCGGCATGAAGCGGTCACGCCAGACCTCGCAAACGAGTGGAGCCGCCCGCGCAACCTCCACTACTACCAAACCGCAAGTCTCGCCTGTTGGATCTGAAGACTCGGGGGTGGGCTTGTACCGTCAAATAGTGGCCCAGGATCCATCATTGGTCACATAGTCTGACCTCTTGCTCTCATCGATCAGGCCTAGATTTCCGCTAGCTTTTCTCGTCGGTCCATCTTCACTACAATCATTGCATATTGCACTCTCTTACTTTATTACCTCCTTACCCTCATCGCACAGCCGACACACACTCATTCATTGTTCACCTCGCTCTCACGTCTCTTATCTCTTCCCCCTGCTATGTCAGAGTCGGTACCCAATTATTTGATGATACCATATCACTCTCGTTCTTCCTCAGGCTCCTTCAATCTTTATCACACTCTCTATTTGGAACACAAACATCGAACAATTGACAATCATCCAATCATTCCTGATCTCATCTAAAGTACTTGAGATGTGCTCCCCTATGCTCTCAGGGTCTAGAGCTACTACGATGCAGTCACCACCCTATATACAGTTTTAATCCCGCACACTTTCGTGCTTCTTCGCTATCTATTGTACGACGCTATTTTTTGATCGATTTAGTCTTTTTCGTACGCCGCGTTGTGAATGCTGACGCTACGCCCGCTTGGGTCCGAGGAACAACCCCAGTCGCCTCGTGGTATCCAGCTGGATCAATAGAACTCAAAAAAAACTAAAAAAAGTGAGTTGACCCAAACTTACCGTACTGCAGTCTTCGCTGCGGCTTCAGAGGGGAAAAGACCTGACGAATATGAGAACGTGTGCTTCGAATTGGTTTACATCGCTTACCGTCGAATATTTCTCGAATGTAATAAGCTTCTTTTGTATCTGGGGTATCGACTGGCCAGCGCTCCGCACGCTTAGAGAAATCTTTATCAGAAACAAAGGCGGCTGCGTTATCCTTGATGCTGTGATCGAAGTCCATCAGCCCGCGTATCTCGCTACCGATAGGAAAACGTGTAGACCAACCCGTCTATCCAAGAATATCCAACACCGTCTGAGAATTGCTCCTTTTGGCGCCATAGGATAGACTTTGGGAGATAAGGCTAAAGTTGGAGGATGAGCAGAGCAAGTGTGGAGATTATCGGGATCGACAGACCGTCCCCTCTGGCCTACAGTCAAATGCTTTCCGAAGAATGTACTGTATGAAAACGATGAGGCATGAATGTGCAGAAATACTCAGCGGGTGGGAAAGCTGACCTTCTCCATCTTCGGACGACCATCTTCATCGATCGCTTGGTTTGAGTCTTTTTTAAACATCTTTTCCTTCGCGTCGATGTTCATAGCGACTTCCAAAAAAGCCTTGTCGAGGAAAGGTACCCGAGCTTCCAAGCCCCAGGCCATCGTCGACCTATGCGCGGATCCGTCAGTGATCCGAGGGAAAGTGGGATTCTCAAAACTAACTTGTTGGCGCGCAGGCAATCGGCAGTGTGAAGATTCTTGACGCGCCGAACACATTCCTGATGGAAAGAGTCACTGTCTGGAGCAGCATGGAAATACAGATAGCCTGTACAGCGCGTTAATTGAGCTCGCTGCGACAAATTCAAGGCATCTTACCGCCAAGAATTTCATCGCTACCCTCTCCGCTGAGAACCATCTTAACACCCATCGCCTTGATTTTCCGGCTGAGAAGGTACATTGGCGTACTTGCACGAACGGTTGTAACATCATAGGTCTCAAGGTGGTAAATAACATCTGGTATGGCGTCCAGGCCCTCCTGGACTGTGAAAACATATTCGTGGTGCACGGTGCCCAGGAAGTGTGCTGCTTTCCTGGCAGCAAGCAAGTCGGGCGAGTTCTCCAGTCCGATCGAGAATGAATGCAATTGTGGCCACGAAGCCAGCATAGCTATGGCGATTTTCAGCGTGGAAATAAGGAGCGATATTCAGTGCGCCTACCCTGCTGTGTCAGATCGTCCATCCTTGGCGTTGGAGGGCCACTGGTGGACTCAGCAAGCTTGCGCTGCCGAGCTTCGTACTGAGCTCGAGCAACCTTTTCTGTTTCCCTTGCAGCTATGGAAGCAATCAAGCTACTGTCCAGTCCACCACTAAGGAGAACACCATAAGGCACCTCAGACATAAGCCGCTTGCGCACTGCAGCTTCCAGGGTTTCCCGGAGAAGGGTATAATCTACGGGTGTGGTCGCGAGCACAGGGTTTGTTTCTGCATCTCCATCCCACCAAGTTGGCTGGAAGTAACGTGTCGTTGACTGGTCACGGCTGTCGTAGACATGACCAGGGGGGAATGAAATAATCGTGTCGCATTCATCGACGAGAGCTTTTAACTCTGAGGAAAAATACGTTGCACCTGGGTGCTTCGAGCTCCATCCTTGGTATAATGTTGTAATCCCAATGGGGTCGCGGGAGGCGATTACTCTAGTAGGAGTCACAGACTCATCCAGAAGTACGAATGAAAACATGCCGTCGAGCATGCTACAAAGATCCTTGTCATGTTTTTTGTACTGCAGATCGTCAGTAATTGGCACAGACGGATGTATAGCACAACAAACCAGAGGAATGATGACCTCGCAATCCGAGTGTGTCTTGAAAGTGACAGTTGAGCCGAGGGTCGCACGAAGTGCTAGATGGTTATAGATTTCACCGTTGACAGCGAGTATGACTTGACCATCCTCGCTGACGAGGGGTTGGGCACCGGTGTCTTAAGCCACAACGGGTCAGGATCAATAATATAATGAATGATAAGTCACACACCAACACCAACAATGGCAAGGCGTTCGTGAAGAAGTATGCCTTCCTTTCCGACAAAACACCCGGACCAGTCAGGTCCACGATGACGAAGACGTTTTGAGAGGGCCAAAAATCGAGTGCGCTCAGCCGGCGGATTTTCTATGCCATGAACTGCAAGTATACCACACATTTTGGAGAGGATAACGATAAAACACCTCGATCCTTGTTTGACTCACATACATTTTGGCAGCTCTAGTGACTCGACCAGATAAGATAAAAAATTGATGCTTAGGTAATGATAGATCTTCTTCTTCCCATCATGCTCAAGCAGTTCAACAAAACATACAAACCAGCTCATTATAATCTTTCCCCGACTCCCACGTTAGTGGGGGGAGACTCAAACGTACATTTTCTCTGTACTCGCTCTTGCAACCTTAACTTTATTCTCTTCACTATACAGTCTGTCTCGGCAAATCCCTCACATTGATCAGAGTGTCCGATTATCCGTGTTGGTGGTACGACAAGCCTCTCAAATCAACTTGCAATTGATGTCGTTTGCAAAATTTTTCATACCAGATGCATTTCCATATCCCTCCTCTCTACCCACAGTTGACCACTTCTGCCTCAGGCGGAGGCAGCTCTGGTTCTACTTGCGCCTGCCTCAGGCGGGTGCTTGTATGTCCATTTTTTTTATCCTGGTCATATTCTGGACACGTCAGATGCTTGCAATTCATACAGAGAACAAGAACGAGTTCGTGGACTGCGATGACGAGCACATCCCACGGGACAAAGCAGCGAGCACTTTGTTGCATGGCACATTCAACAACCATCTTTTTGTTCACGTTTGTTTCCTATTTGCCCTTCTTTCATTCACTACTATGGCGAACGTCCGCTTCGTTTCACGGAGTTGTTGGTCTTTAAAATGGAACTCGGTATCAGATTGACAGAAAGAACTTTGGCGATACGACGGATTCATTGCTACTGCAGACCATAACTTGGAGACATTCGTGTCAATGTGTTCTCTCTTTCATTCCTGTTTCCTTTTCCCCATATTTTCACAGGTCTGAGCTTCTCTTGCCAAACACTCGCGCAGATCATGAGTTGCCACGTCGGCCTGAAATCGTGAGCATCCCTAATTCACATCAATCATGAATGATACAACTGACAAGAATCCGCAGATTCTTATTTTAGTTCGGACAGCTTCAAGGAAGCAGAGCGCGTTCGATTCAACAAACCAGAGAACACGAGCGATTATCTCGCGATGTTGACTCACCCTGGAGTACCTCTTCATCACCTAGATCTGAAACAAAATTGTATTTGCGCCATTCAACGAAACATCTCGGTAGAAAAAGGACTGGTCAGAAATGCTCTCGTGCATGTCACCACACTCCACCGTCGATTCGTCGAAATCCAACTTCTCAATACACACGAAAGCCACTGCATCCCACGCATCAACGTCTCATTCCATCCACACCGTTCTTCGTGGACAGTAAGCAGAAGGACTGACGCTGGCACACACAGTACTTGACCTGCGGACGGATACATTTGCTCACGGCTAATTATATGCGGCGTTGTCCAGAGTGAGGGCACGAAGAGATATGCTGTGTTTATTCGCAGAGACGAACGAAGAACAGGACTGTGCAAATATCATATTTTCTCACTTGCTACTGTAAATATAATTTGTCGTCGAAAATAAGACCGAAGGCGTGTCCTTGTATGTAAGAAATTAGACGTTTGGTGATACAACGATGCTATGAATGAATAAAATGGCCATTGAAATATATACAACGGCGCTTTGCAGCCGGCTCCTGACCATCTTGCTCAGAATGAAATAGATAATTTAGCATATCCAAGTCATGCTCCGCCACAATCTTCTTCCCATCCCGCGCACCATCAGGACGCCGAATATCTATCCGATTAACAAGCATAGGATAACGGGTCTTCTGTATCGGTCCAGCCCAATCGAAATCGAGCAGCATGAAGTGTTTTTTGTCTCTCACAACGAAATTGGTATCCCGAAGGTCGCCATGGACGTAGCCACCATTGTAATTGTGTAACTCCCGGATGAGAGAGGTGATGGCCTCCTTCAGCGGCTGGCGGTCCAAAACAGCTATCTCACTGAGCAGTCGATATGAGCCAGGCCGTTGCGAGAAGTAATCCTTATCAATATCAATGACATCCATAATCACCATATTCCAGCCGCCGGGTAAAGGATTGTAGGCGATAAGTTTGGGAGCGTGCCCCTTGCTGGCACAGAATTCGTGGGCTTCAGGGGAATAGTGCCTGACGAACTTGATACATATCTTGCTCCCAGCCGCATCGCCGACGGTTTCCCCGAAGAAGATAAGTTTATCCCTGAGGACTTGAGTCTCATCATACGAGAATTCTTGAATGTGACCGGTTGACTTGGTATAACTCCGAGGATAAGGACATCCTAGAGGTGGATCTTTGGGTTCGAGGGATGGAATTGGATGAGAGTACAGATTTGTGAGTTTCTCGATGGCGATTTTGAGAGCCCCGAAAGTACGAGCTGCCATCACTTGCATATTGAGGTCTGTTGAATGCCAAAACAGAGGAATGATAGGGACCAGGACATCAGACTGGACCTTTTCTGTGAAAACAGAGCCTGCAAAGCCAATGCATGCCCCTAGTTGCGGTCAATAAAGGGCTTTAGCAATGAATCTGATGAAATGAACTAACCGAAGACAATGATATGGATGCATGGAATGACAGACCGGAGCTTCACTATCTCAATCTTCGAGTCTTCCATAAACTTGCGGTAGTACAACATTGCCTCCGTGAATGGTTCGGTAGCGCCGCTTCCGATCTCGTTCCTCACCTCCAATATCACCTGCACAAACTGTCCGCTGGTGGACAAAAGATGTCCGTCTGTCGTAAATTTTGTCGAGCCAACGAAGTCGCAGAGCACTTGCCGGAATACAAGCATCCGCGTGAGCTCATCGGAATGAAAGGAAGACGTAATTTGCGAAAGTTGCCAAACAAAGTCATTATCGCAGACAGTTGGTTGATGATTTTGACAATCATCCACAAACTTGGCGAAGATAGGTTCGAGAAGAGTAACTGGAACAGGGTCTGCAGCTCTGCGAGGACGATTGCAAAGGTACTCTTGCTCGTCCTGCTTTATAGAGAATGCGGACGGTATTGCGCCAACTGCCGGAGTACCTGCGCTCTTCTTGAGATAAGCGAGTCGTCGACCTACAGCTGGAATGTGTTGTATGACGACGTGAACACATCCGCGCTCTAGTCCATCCGTGAATACTTCGGACAGTTTGGTTAACGGTTTCAACTCCACGCCTTGGTCTCCGATCGTGTCGAGTAAGTGTAGGTCGTTCCAATCGATCTTGACCTTCCAAATGATCAGGTCATCATCATTAGACTGGTATCTATCACTCACTTTCCATAGCTTGAGAGCCTTAGCATCGACACCATCCAATTTATGCTTTTTCTGTTCTTTGATAACCTTTTGGAGGGTGCTGACACTCTCTGTCGGTGCAATCTTGATCTCAAATGCATGGCGAGGATCATCGCCCCAGACAATACAGTTAAGTCTGAGGTGGATAGGTCCAAAAGACACTAAGTCAGACAACTATCAGTAAGCAGGAAAGGGTGGCAATATTGAAAGACAACTCACTGGCAGGTAAGACCCGTATAACAATATGCAGATGCTTATACTGAGGAGCATTTTCAAAAATATCGAGCATTTCATCCACAGGTGATAGGGATTCCTTTGTGTCAAGTGTAAGATTGTTAAGATTGTGCTCGATCGTCTCGTCGACAGGCAGGTCGACCTTCTTAAATATCAGATTATCAACATCCAATCGTAGGCATTAGATCACTCACCCGCCATAGCTCGAGATGGTCAGCATCAATATGGTCAAATTCTGGCTTCTTCTTGTCTTTGATAACGTCTCTGAGGTCACCAACAGTCTGCGTCTGCGCAACGTTGGCTGAGAAAATACGGTAAGGATCATCGCCCAAGACAATACAGTTGAGTTTGTACATCTGACGTTGAGCTTAAGAGTAATAGTGTCTCGAGCGGTGACCGCAGTGAGTGCTGCAGTTACAATGCACTTGCCAAGCCAAGCAGCCTGTGACGGCGGTGAGGAGCAATGAGCTTTCAGAGATATGCTGCAGTACGATAGGAGAGCTCGTGGTTATTTCTGATTCTTTCTTGTTTCAGATAATGGACGTGGTACCCGGGGGTTCTGTCACAATTCTGTCAGATCCAAACGTCCAGGCACCTGTATTTTCATGTGCGCGTGAAAACATTGCCATTTTCATCATAAATGGGCCGTAGCCCAGACTCTCATCATATGTCTCAGAGTCACGTTGCCTATTGTCCTGCCACGTACTGGTCAAATAATATTTTGCACCTCAAAAACTGCCCGTCCTGCGTTCATCTTGAGGTGTTACGCATGTCTGACCCATATGTCATCCAGAAATGCGTGGTGCAGTCCATCTCAACTTGTTTTTCGTACGGCAACGAAGTAATTGACGGCCTGACAATAGACAAGTATGGCCTGGTGTTTGGCGCCGTTTGAATGTCCCACATCACTAGTCACTCCTCTCAATATTCGATCGTCAAATTCGGTAAAGAACGAGATTCCCGTTGTCGCATCGTGGTGAGAGCGAACATCTTGCATTGTAATACCTCTGCACTACCCAATGCCATGTTATACTTCCGAAATATATGGGGAAGATAAGTTAACTTCCCATTGGGTCTATCAATGATAATTTATACTACTTGTAACAATCTGTGCACCATCATCACATTTCGAATGTCATCAACAATCTACTAAACTGGGCCACACCAGTTGCGCTGAACCTTGATTGTTTGTTGTTAGCTCTACTAAGATGGTAAAACTCTCTAAGGATGGAGTGCATTCATGAGGCGGAAACAGCTCCAAGCAAGCAAGGACACGAATGCATAGATGCCAACGCGGATGTTGAATGGGTTTTCCGTCAAGAAAGGGTATGGGACTAGACATCGAGCTATTTTAGTAACGTGTAACCAAAGGAAGATACAAATACCCACATCTATGGTTATAACTAGCGCAATATTCTACCCACCAGGAATACCATGTCCCACAGGCGAGGACAACGAGTGGTGAGCCAATTTGAGCTTGCTTTTTCGTATATTTCTTCTCGAAGAAAATAAAGTCCACAAGGAGAGTGATGACGGGAGCGAGATGGAGAGAGAAATCCATGTTGAAAGGAATCCGTGCCAGTGAAGGGAGGGTCGACGAAGAAGAGGGCTCAGATAGACCCGGAAGCTGGCGCGGTAGAATCAATGATGGAAAAAACAACAGGAGTGGCCAGTACACTGCGGATATTACAAATGTGAGCTGGGATGGATTCATCAATGAACGAACAGCGTCAGAGAGGCGGAATGAGTTACAGGGAGAGCTATCATAAGGGAAGCACGCTTGGCTGTGCGAAGGGCTGGAGAAGGTGTCATAATCCAAGTAGAAAGGGCTGATTGACTGTTGCTCTTACTAGCAAATGAAGGCAGCAAATCACAGCCAAGGCTTAGGACCATAGTCACCCAAGCAGCAGCCAGCCTTGCCATAAACTTGAATCAGTTTCTCTCGGAGAAGTCCAGGGTAGGGAACACTCGCCCTTGTATAGTCAGAAACTGGAAGTGCCCTCCTTTCTGTGCTCGGATCCAGCCATCTATGGGTAGCGTTCTGAGGCCAATGAAGCCATATGTCATCACGCCCACGGCGACGCCATGTAAAAAGAACGCTTCGGGGCGAGGCATGAACTAGTGACGCTGATGAGAGGTTAACTTAGGATTTGGAGTCTGTGCAAGTCTAGAGAAGAGCAGATTAGTCGCCCGTGGAGTTCGAATTGTTCTAACTGTGTAATGTATGCATGGCCGAGGAGTCCAGTGATCGCCGCGGTTGTCACTAAGACTAAGACTAAGACTAAGACTATTACAGCTAACTCCATATACGTTAGGCCAGAATCCATTTTTGTTCATCCTCTGTTTAGTTGTGGAGCTGGCCAAATAAAGGATCCCGCCTATTACGATACTTCGTCGGGCGAGATACCTTTCTCATTCGACACTGCCTTCGGACACCATTCTCACTATGGTTGGAAACCGCCGTCACATTCCAGCAGCCATGAAGCAACAACGGGTCACTATGTCTGCCCAAATGTCATCCAAGGCCATAGTACAAGTCACTAACACAAGCCGCCGAACTATCAACCGAGTTCTTCGGCTCCGTTGTCAGAATACAGCTACGACAATTGCCATTACTTGACATCTACTGTACAGCTAGTGTTAGACATTGGTATTGATACTCATTGATGCTCCTCTGCTCCCTTGCTTTGCCTTTCTCACCCGACGAAGTATCGTAATAGGCCGGCCAGCTCCACAACTAAACAAAAGCGGTGAATGAACAAAAATGGATTCTGGCCTATCGATATGAAGTTAGCTGTAAGTGACAAGTCTTCATAAGCTTCCGAGTCGTGTGTACACATCAAGTCACAAATTTTATACACAAGGTTTCCTTCAAAGCATATGGCGGACCTTAGGTAAATCACTTTCAATTTATTTCACATAAAGCGGCCCAAAGTCAAATAAAATACAGTTTGAATGGTCCGATTCGCCGACTAGAGCCTAAAGCCAACTGAAACCATCTAACCCCAGAGGAACTTTGCCTGATGGCCATACCTGCCACCCTTGACGTCGGCAGCACTGATAACACCGTTAATTTCTGCGATGTCTTCCGTAGACAACTCGATATCTCCTGCAGCACAATTCTCTCGAGTGCGCTTGGCATGCCTGAAACAATGTCAAGGCCCATGACAATCGTATGTCTGGACGGGGACTCACGAGGAACCGGGCAAAGGGATGACATGCTTGGCCAACGATGCAACCCAAGCGATGCTAAGTTGAGCAGAGGTAACGTTCTTGCTCCTCGCAATCGCAGTCAGCGCATCAACAATAGCGAAGTTGTGTTTAAAGTTCTGTACAGCTATGATGAGCTGACGATCAAGCGCATATCGGGAAACTTACATCTTCCTGGAAACGAGGCAGTAAGCGGCGGAAATCTCCCTCTGGGAATGGCGGTGAGCATCATAAATATCGTTAAGCGATAATCTTACCCGGAATGTCCTCAGGCCTCTTGATTTGACCGGTCAAAAACCCACGACCAAGCGGACTAAACATGATTATTGTCAGGTCAGAACAGGCGTGTAATAACGTGACACGTACGAGTATGCGATAACAGCAATACCTAGCTCTTCGGCAGTCGCAATGACTGACAGATTTGAAGATGAGTTACTCCAACAGAACTTTAAGTCTAATGACGTACCTTTCTTGGCCTCCTCTCCGTATTCCCATGGGCTGACCTCAATCTCGACAGCAGCAATGGGGTGTACCTGGAACATACTGAGCAGATGTCTTGCCAAGACAGTCATACTATCCACATACAGCATTACCACGCCGCAGAGTGTCAGCGCTGCATTCCGACATACCAATATGGTCTAGTTTACCCTCATTCTTGAGTTCAACAAGGGTCCTGATCGATTCTTCCAAAGAGACATTGGGGTCTACACGAGCGCTCTGGAACAAATCAAGGCGCTTGGTGCCGCGAAGTTTCTCATTGATGAGCTCGACACTTCGTCTCAAGTTGGCGGGTCTGATGGTCAAGGTAGCATCTCATTATAACGATCATGGTGTACAATTGGGACTTACGAGCCGTCAGGCAGTGCCTCTACGCCAGGCTTTAGTCCTCCCTGAAAAACAAAGAGTTAATTACAATGAGGCGGAAGCGGGGATAGACCGTACCTTGATGGACAAGAAGGTCTTGTCTACGTAGTCGGGGTACTTTTCGAAGAACCGGGCGATCATCTCGAGGTTTGCGGTTGATAAATTGTGCCCATAGAATTCCCCTGTGACCGGATTTAGCACATATGTCTTATGTGGGGAACTTTTGCCTACCTCCGTTGAGGAACATCTTTGTGCCAGGAGGGAGGGCATCCACGCCAGCCTTGATAGCCTCAAAACACTGTTCGTCTGGGACTGGCTCGGGTGTCCATCTACATGATGGACCATCGATGTGAACTCGATCCAACGATTGTCAGAAGAAAAGAAAACGCACGTCATCATCATCAATCCATGCTGGGAGGGGAAATGTAAGAAAAAACTTTGAGATGAAGAGCAGCATACATACAGCTACTTTACCAATGGTGACATTAGATGCAGTACCGCCGAGAGAGGTAGTGGCTCGAATAGACATTGTGAATGAAAGGTTGATTCTGGATCGCAAGAAGTGGAAGTGGTCTTTATAACTGCCTAGGAAGTACGCGGCTTGAAATATTAACTGGCCGAGATGTTACGCAGAGTCTGCGGCAGATTAATGCTTTGTGAAAAAGGGGGAACGTGGTGAGAACTAGTACATTTGTCAGAACGATGACATGATCACTACCAATCTTGCTTGACCTAAATTTAAATGTTATGTAAGTTGGTGTCTTGAAATGAGAATTCCTGCATGATGCAGTGGGCCCCATGATGTTTACACTTAATCTACTTTACATCACGTGATCATATTCAGTAGGATGAGTCAGTACTTCGCTGCAAGTCAGCTTAGTATGCTAGGCTGACAGGCTGATTGACAATATTTTGGGCATTATTCTCAAAATCGTTGCCGTCGATACCGTATGCATCATCAACGTGACTATTAAACCACACAAAGTTCCGACTCATCCACAACCTAACGTTGCAACCCCCGATTCAGCATCGGAGATGCTAAATTCTCGGTCGGTCCGGTCGATTACCCTTGGTGACGGTGATATGCTAAAGACCACCGAATCCGGGATCTGAAGCTTCCTATCTCACTACTGGCACTAGCCGTTTGCAGCAGGCTGGTCATCGAACACAGTTGCATAGGTGCCCTGTCACCCTACCGAAGTACTTTGGCTCCCAAAAACTTTCGAGAACGCGGCATCTCTTGTGTTACTTCACTTACATCAGAAGTCAAAACCTCCAGGTATTTTCTGCTCGTGTATAAGGTTAAGCTGTAAATTGCCTTCGCGCCCATCGCGCTCCTGCCCATCCTGCCCGACCCGTAGTCTTCCGAACGTCGCCTACCACACCTAACCTCCAACCTGCGCCCTCTCGCATCACATAATAGGCCAACTACAACCCCATGACCTAGCCTCGAAACCTATGCTGACTCCGACCCCCGTGCCGGAGCGTGACCTCCCGAGGCCCTCCCGCCACTTCCTGCTTTCATCCAGTCATACCAGGAAAATGACGGGGTGTATTTAGTCTTGGTCTATTTCTAACATATATGAAGACGAAATGGTTGATGATCCCGCAGAAGTAATTCATGTGACTCCCATGTGCGTACTCCACCTGAGCTTCACATGCACTCCACTGCTTGCTGTCAGTGTGCGCTTGGCGGTCCTCTGTTTCTCTGTGCATTGCTTACCTCTGTGTCTGCACTTCACTCTGTCCGATGTGTGTCTTCACCCTTCGATATTTTTTCTCATATTCGCGTGAATGTCATGCAGTGCATCCTTCACCTGAGCTCCACACGCAGTCCACAGCTCAAGTACTGTCAGTATGTGTTGCCCCCTAAGTATTCTGTTCTTCCAGTTGGAAGGTACTTCCGATCCACAGGAATGATCTTCTTACAGCTCAGCAGGGTCGTTTTTAACCTTTTGCATTTGGAAGATCATCGGGACGTACATGACGAGCTCAAGGTCAGACTCCAACCACATCCTCTCTCGCACATTATCTTATGGCAATATCGTTAGGTTATGCAGATCATATTCGATATTAGTCTCCCGCCGAGGAAAGTATACGCGGGCTTTAACGCCCTGACTACCTACCCATCTTCTTATCATCTTAGTCTCACCCTACCTATCACATACTTGGAACATGAGTTCCAATCTCAAATCACTGAATCAAAAAAGTCCGCCAGTACCAGTGTCATCTTAAGTGGTACGAGACTGCGATTTATCGGTGTTCAATTACAAGATCATACAACAGGGAGGCAATCCAACCCCTTGTCTCATTCCGCAGTAGGTTACTGCACTAGGGAATGACGTTGTTACAGCGAAGAAACATTCACCTTTGATTTCCATGGATGGTACTGGTAGAGATATCCTGGCAGTTCTGACAATCTTGTCATGACCCACGTGTGTTAGGCCTTACTCATCTCCTGTGGCCCGTCATAGTAGGTCTCTTGCAGCCAGTAAATATACATCCCATAATCTGCAAACAATAAACTCATGGAGGTCAGTTCACTTCGGCCAGGGTGGTTGTCAAATTGCTAAAAGTGACGAGTATATCAAAGATAGCATATTACTTAGTTCAATGGGCTTGGTGCGTAATGGCTCTGCTGCATGTCATTGGATACTCTGCAGACCACAACCCAATATTTACCATCCAGGAAGAAACTCCGGCCCACGTAGGCCATTCACCTGCAGCGTAAATTCACTCCGACCATCTCAGGAGCCTGCCGCTTAAAATGATAAGCACACCCACATCCACATCATTCTTTAGTTCGCGTTTGTGCCGTAGATATTTACATATATAAAAAACAACGAGTGCGATTACACCGTCCCATTGGCATTAATGCACAAAGCAGCATATGTAGTATGTATGATATTTGTCCGTCCACGAACCCATTTCACTCTTTCTTAGCCTGTACCTCACGCGCATGTGCACGCTCTGCAAGGTCCACCCCTACGAGGATCTTCGACGCCTTCCAGAGCTGTACGAGATTGATAATATTCTTGCCTACACAGACGAATGCGCTGGGGATTGCGACAAGTTCGGGCCAGGTGAGATCTTTGAGCCATGGGAAGTAGACGCCGAGTCCGATAGGTGTTTGCACCCAATTCATGAGGTAGAGAGAGACGAAGAAGAGCTCGTTGCCTGCGCACATAAAGAACAGAGTA